GAGGGCCCCAAGACAGGCCCAAGAGGGCGCCCCGAGGGAACCCCACGTGGGCCCAAAGAGGCCCAAGAGGGACCCAAGAGAGCCCCAAGAGAGCCCCAACATCGGTCACGCGGAAGAGCTCTCGCGTGACCGATGTTGGGCCCCTCTGTGGGCTCCTCTTGGAGCTCCGAGAGGAGCCAAAGATGGCCCCACGAGGGCCCCGACGAGACCCCAAGAGGACCCAAGCAGGCCCAAGAGGGACCCAAGAGAGCCCCAGCATAGGTCACGCGGAAGAGCCCTCGCGTGACCGATGTTGAGCCCCTCTTTGGGCTCCTCTTGGAGCTCCAAGAGGGGCCCAAGATGGCCCCACGAGGGCCCCGAGGGAGCCCCACGTGGGCCCAAGGAGGCCCAAGGAACCCCAAGATGGCCCCAACATCGGTCACGCGGAAGAGCTCTCGCGTGACCGATGTTGGGCCCCCTCTTTGGGCTCCTCTTGGAGCTCCGAGAGGAGCCCAAGATGGCCCCACGAGGGCCCCGACGAGACCCCAAGAGGACCCAAGCAGGCCCAAGAGGGACCCAAGAGAGCCCCAGCATAGGTCACGCGAAAGAGCTCTCGCGTGACCGATGTTGGGCCCCTCTGTGGGCTCCTCTTGGAGCTCCGAGAGGAACCCAAGGTGGCCCCACGAGGGCCCCGACGAACCCCAAGAGAGCCCAAGAGGGCTCCAAGAGCGCCCCAACATCTCCTCTCCTTCCTCCTCCCTCCTCTGCATCTTCCTCCTCCTCCTCCTTCTCATCCTCCTCCTCCTCCTCCTCCTCCTCCTCCTTCTCCTCTCCAGGGGAATGAAAACCAGAGGATAGCTCACGCAGAGCCCAAGCACCCTCTTGTTGCATCCATCTTGGCTTCCAGATGGAGCCCAAGACGGCCCCAATGAGGCCCCTCAAGAGGCCCCAGGAGACCCCAGACGTCCAAGGACGCCCCCAAGACGCTTCGCGTCACCAATTTCTTCTCGCAACGATTCCTGGGTCTGTGACTCGACAGAACCTAAGCGCGCGCGAAGCGCGCGCGTGGTTCTAGTTACTTATATGCATACTAGTAACAATAAGGATCATACCATTAATCATATCGAGAATAAGAAGATTAATACTACTAAGAATAATAACAATACTAATACGACGTTTAACAATACTAATTATACGAAGAAGAAGCAGCATACTATTAACATTACGAGTAACACCACTAATAATGTTAATCGCAATTCAGAATACTAAGAAAACGCAGAATACGGATAAGAATAATCATACGAATAAGCATAATAATATTACGAATAGTAAGAGTAATAGTACTACTACTAATAAGAATAATAAGACGAATGCCACGACAACTAATAATAATAATAATGCTAATAATACTAATACTAAGAAGAAGACTAGGAATAATAATAATAAGAAGAAAAAGACGAATAGCACTAATAATAATACGAATAATGCTAATAGTACTAATAAAAATAATAAGAAGAATGATACTAATCACCAGAATAATTAATACTAATAATAAGCAGAGGAGGAGGAGGAGGAGGAGGAGGAGGAGGAGGAGGAGGAGGAGGAGGAGGGGAGGAGGAGGAGGAGGATGAGGGGGAGTAGGAGTATAGGGATATGAAGGAGGAGCAGGAGGAGGTGGGGTAGACGCAGGAGGAGGTTGCTGCTGCTGATGATGAGGGTCTGATGACGAGGAAGGGGGAGGGTGAGGAGGAGGAGGAAGAGGAGGATCAGCAGGAGGAGGAGGAGGAGGAGGAGGAGGCTGGCCAGCAGCAGCAGGGGGGGGGAGCAGGAAGAGGAGGATGAGGAGGAGGAGGAGGATGAGGTGGAGGGGGAGGAGGAGGAGGAGGAGGAGGAAAAAAGGATGAGGAAAAGGAAGAGGATGAAACGGAGGAGAAGGAGGAGGGTCAGGAAGGAGTTGATTGAAGATGGGGAAAGAGGAGGAGGAAGAGGAGGAGGAGGAAGAGGAGGAGGAGGAGGCAGAGGAGGAGGAGGACGAAGAGGATGACGAGGAGGAGGAGGAGGAAGAGGAGGAGCAGGAGCAAGAGGAGGGGGAGGAAGAAGATCAAGAGCAGGATCAGGAGGAGGAGGCGGCGGAGGAGGACCACTGTACACCCAAGGCTCATCAACGATGTTGGAACATACCCTCCCTGCACCCCCCCCCTTCACAGGCCCCTACAAGGTTTCATTTCCACTGATGGAAGTGCTCGTTGGGAGACAACCGTTTGAAGGTCCGGAAGCGTGCCAAGGCAGCATTCTCGGGACATCAACGTCACGAATCAGCTTGACTGTTACGTCTTGGCGATCTTGAGTCGTGCCAGAGCACCTTTCCTGGGACTTGCACCGCGAATCATCGTAAGTGTCGCGCCCTGACAATCCTGATTCGATCTTAGATTTCTCGGACGTGAACCATGCGAATCCGTGACTCCAACACGAATGTGCGTGGCACTCAGGCGAGGGCCACATTTTGAAACGTAGCCGCCCTCAATCCGTGAAGCTCGTGCCATTTTTAACGCCGATGTGCGCGGTGCTCAGGCGAGGGCCACATTTTGGAAACCACCCGCCCTCAATCCGTAAAAATCGTGCAAACATTTGAAACGAATGTGCGAGGCGCAAAGCATACGCCCTCAACCCGTGAAACTCTTGCCATTTTTGACAACGAATGTGCGTGGCGCTCAGGCGAGAGCCCCATTTTGAAAGCCACCCTCTTTCAATCCTTAAAACTGGTGCACATTTTTAACACGAATGTGCGCGACGCTCAGGCGAACCACCCGCCATCAATCCGTGAATTTCGTGAAGTTTTTTACGACGAATTTGCGCGGCGCCCAGGCGAGAGAGAGAGAGAGAGAGCTAAATTTTGAAAACACCCCGCACTCAATGCGTGAATCTCTTGTCATTTCTAAGACGAGTGTTCGCGGCGCTCAGGCGAGAACCACGTTTTCAAAACGGCCTGCCCTCCATCCGGAAAGCTCGTGCAATCCTGAAAACAAATGTGCGCGTCGCAAAGGTGGGAGCCACATTTCATTTGGCAACCGTCCGCTTTCCGTTTGTGGAACTGTTGGCATTCTGTAAGCTTCAGGATCAAACATGTGAAGGCGCTCGGGCGAAACGCCTGGCCCGCCCTTCCGACTTGCCTCGGGGTGCGACATGCAGGAGTTATGTATCGGGAAAAGAAGGAGGATGATGAGGAGGAGGTGGAGGAGGAGGAGGGGGAGGAGGACCAGTGTAAACCCAAGACTCACCAACGACGTTGGAACAAACCCTCCCTCCAAACTCTCTTCCCATAGGCCCCATACGAAGAGTCATGTCTACTGAGGGAAGTGCTCGTTGGGAGGCAACCGTTGGGACGTCCTGAAGCGTGCCGAAACACCATTGTAGGGATTCTATCGCTTCGAATCAACCGGACTGTTTCGTCTTGACGATCTTGAGTCGTGCCAGAGCACCATTCCTGGGACTTCACCGCGAATCAACGGGACTTTTGCGCCCTGACAATCCTGACTCGGTCCTAATATCTCGGACGTTAACTATGAGAATCCGTGAAACTCATGCACATCTTCAAAACGAAAGTGCGCGGTGCTCAGGCGAAAGCCACATGTTGAAAGGGCACCCGCAATCCGTGAATTTCTTTTATTTATTAAGACGAATGTGCGCGGTGATCAGGCGAGAGACACATTTTCACAACCACCCGCCCTCAATTCGCGATTTTGTTATTCTTGTTGTAATACGAATGTGCGCCTCGCTAGGGCGAGAGCCACATTTTGAACACGTCCTGCCCTCCTAGCGTGAAGCTCTCAGACATGTTTAACATGAATTAGCGCGGGACCAGGCGAAAGTCACATTTTGAAAACGACCCGCCTTCAATGCGTCAAACTCCTGCCATTTTTCAAGACGAATGTGCGCGGCGCTCAGGCGAGAGCCACATTCTGAAAACGACCCGCCCGCCATCCGTGAAGGTCGTGCAATCCTTAAAACGAATGTGCTCGGCGCCAAGGCGTGAGCAATATTTGGACAATCGCCCCTCAATCCGTGGATTCCTTGCGACTTGTTTAAACGAATATGCGCGGCGCTCATGCGAGAGCCACATTCCGAAAACGTCCCGCACTCAATGCGTGACATTCCCGCGCTTTTTACCGCGAGTGCTCGTTGCGCTCAGGCGAAAGTCTCATTTTGAAGAAGTCCCGCCCTCAATGCGTGAAGCTCTGGCCATTTTGATAGACGAATGTGCGCGGCGCTGAGGCGGGGAGCCACATTCTCAAAACGCCCCGCCCTCCATCGGTGAAGCTCGTGCAGGCGAAACGCCCGGCCCGCCCTTCGGATTCGCTTCGGGGGGCAGAGAGGGGTTATTTCCCAATCAGAGCTTGCCTCTGTAGGGGTCCTCGCGGATTCGTATGGTTAGATTCGGTTTGCCGCCGATTTTCGCCGCACGCCCGGGTGCCCGGGGGCCCGGGGGTGCCCTGGGTCCGGGTGCCCGGGGGGTGCCCGGGTGCCCGGGTGCCCGGGTGCCCGGGCGTGCCTGGGGTTGCCCCGGGGTGCCCCGGGGTGCTTTATAGCCCTACAGCCCCCTTAAGCCCTATAGCCATATAACCTTATAGCCCAATAGCCCAATAGCCCTATAGCCCTACAACTCTATAGCCCTGTAGCTCTATAGCCCTATAGCTCAATAGCCCTATAGCCCTATAGCTCTATAGCCCTATACCCCCCTAGCCCTATAGCCCTGATTGGGTTTTTTCTCCGGTATCATTTATAAGGGGAAAGAATGGAGGACGGGGAGGCGGGGGAGGGGGAGGAGAAAATGGAGGAACAGGAGGAGGGGGAGGAGACGATGACGGAGGTCATGGAAGATGTACAGGAGGAGGAGGAGGAGGAGGAGGAAGAGGAGGAGGAGGAGGAGGAGGAGGAGGAGGGAACGGGATCAGGAGGAGCAGGGGGACGGGCGATGGTTGTCTCGCCCTGGTGTCCGCTCTCCTCCCCCCCCGCGCCCAAGAGGAACACTTCGAAGGGCTCATGCGCAACATCCCTGTGCCTGTGACCAGTCCGCAGTACGACCAGTGCCCTCGGAGCGCACCCCACGGCCCAGGGTGTCCTCCCCGGTCACGCCTTCCTTTCCCCTTGGCCTCCTCCTGACTCGGGGCTTCTTCCGGGGAGCGAGGCTCGGCTCCTCCTCCTCCTCCTCCTCCCCCTCCCCTCCGTCGTTCTGACGCCTGGGCGCCCGCCGAGGTACGCGACGTATTACAGACAACAGTACGATCGTAACATGCAGGACCGCCAGCGCCAGTTGGGAGGGCCAGGGAGGAGGACGATGAGGAGGACGAGGAGGATGAGAAGGAGGAGGAGGAGGAGGAGGAGGAGGAGAACAATGGGGGAGGTGGAGGAGGAGGGGGGGTGACGGGGAAGAGAAGGAGGTGGGTGAGGAAAAGGGGAACGGAGGGGGATGAGGGAACCTAAGGAACATAGGACAGGGAGGAGGGTGGGGAAAGGAATGAGGGATTGGGCGGTCGCCATGATCCAACGGGTCTTGAGGTGCAAAAGGTTTTAAACTTTTTAGTTTTTTTCGACCTTTCGGGGGCCTCTTCGCAGCCTGGGGACGTAAAAAGATATCGTGGAACCTCAGGATGTCCAGAACCCGTTTCCTCCAGGACATTTGTGTTTTCGCGGAAGAATGATTGGGTTAGGAGGGAGAACAAGACAAGGCTAGTAGTAGTAGTAGTAGTAGTAGTAGTAGTAGTAGTAGTAGTAATAGTAGTAGTAGTAGTAGTAGTAGTAGTAGTAGTAGTAGTAGTAGTAGTAGTAGTAGTAGTAGTAGTAGTAGTAGTAGTAGTAGTAGTAGTAGTAGTAGTAGTAGTAGTAGTAGTAGTAGTAGTAGTAGTAGTAGTAGTAGTAGTAGTAGTAGTAGTAGTAGTAGTAGTAGTAGTAGTAGTAGTAGTAGTAGTATAGTGTATAGTAGTAGTAGTAGTAGAGTAGTCGTAGTAGTAGTAGTAGTAGTAGTAGTAGTCATAGTCCTAGTCGTGGTGGTAGTAGTAGTAGTAGTAGTAGGAGTAGTGGTAGTAGTAGTAGTAGTAGTAGTAGTCGTAGTAGTAGTAGTAGTCGTCGTCGGCGTCGTAGTAGTAGTAGTAGTAGTAGTAGTAGTAGTAGTAGTAGTAGTAGTGGTAGTAGTACTCGTAGTAGTAGCATTCGTAGTAGTCACAATAGTCGCAGTAGTAGTAGTCGTAGTAGTAGTAGCAGTATTTGTAGTAGTCGTAGTAGTAGTAGTAGTAGTAGTAGTCGTCGTCGTAGTCGTAGTCGGGGTGGTCATAGTAGTCGTAGCGGCAGTAGTGGTAGTAGTGGTAGTAGCAGCAGCCGCAGTAGTAGTAGTAGTAGTAGAAGTAGTAGTAGTAGTCGCAGTCGTAGTCGTAGTCGTAGTAGTGGTAGTAGTAGTAGTAGTAGTAGTAGTCGTAGTAGTAGTAGTAGTAGTAGTAGTAGTAGTCGTAGTAGTAGTAGTAGTAGTAGTAGTAGTAGTAGTAGTGGTAGCATCAGTAGTCGTAGTCGTAGCCGTAGTGGTAGTAGTAGTCGTAGTTGTAGTAGTAGTAGTAGTAGTAGTCGTATTAGTAGTAGTAGTAGTAGTAGTAGTAGTAGTAGTAGTAGTCGCCGTCGTAGTAGTACTAGTAGTCGTAGTCGTAGACACAGTAGAAGTAGTAGTCACAGCAGTAGTAGTACTAGTAGTAGCAGTAGTAGTAGTCGTAGTCGTAGTAGCCGTAGTCGTAGTCGTAGTCGCAGTGGGCGTAGTAGTCGTAGTGGCAGTAGTGGTAGTCGTAGTAGTAGCAGCAACAGTCGTAGTAGTAGTAGTAGTAGTAGTAGTAGTAGTAGTCGTAGTAGTCGTGATAGTAGTAGGCGTGGTAGTAGTAGTCGTAGCAGTAGTAGTAGAAGTGGTAGTAGTAGCAGTAGTAGTAGTAGTAGTAGTAGTAGTAATAGTAGTAGTAGTAGTAGTAGTAGTAGTAGTAGTAGTAGTATGAGAAGTAATAGTAGTAATACTAGTAGTAATACTACTAGTAGTAGTAGTAGTAGTAGTAGTAGTAGTAGTAGTAGTAGTAATCGTTGTACTAGCAGTCGTAGTAGTCTTCGTAGCAGCAGTAGTCTTAGGAGTAGTAGTAATAGTAGTAGAAGTAGAAACAGTAGTAGTAGTAGTAGTAGTAGTAGTAGTAGTAGTAGTAGTAGTAGTAGTAGTAGTAGTAGTAGTAGTAGTAGTAGTAGTAGTACTAGTAGTAGTATATGTCGCATGCGTAGTAGTAGTCGTAGTAATAGTAGTAGCAGTAGTAGTAGTAGTAGTAGTAGTAGTAGTAGTAGTAGTAGTAGTTGTAGTAGTAGTAGTAGTCGTAGTAGTAGTAGCAGTCGTAGTCGTCGTAGTAGGCGTAGTAGTCGTCGTAGTAGTAGTATTAGTAGTAGTAGTCGTCGTAGTAGTCGTAGTAATAGTAGTAGTAGTAGTAGTAGTAGTAGTAGTAGTAGTAGTAGGAGTAGTAGTAGTAGTCGTAGTGGTAGTAGTAACCGTAGTGACAGCACCCGTAGCAGTCACAGTAGTAGTAGCAGTAGTAGTTGCAGTAGTAGTAGTAGTGGTAGTAGTAGCAGTAGTAGTAGTAGTAGTAGTAGTAGTAGTAGTAGTAGTAGTAGTAGTGGTAGTATCAATAGTCGTAGTCGTAGTCGTAGTAGTAGTAGTAGTAGTAGTAGTCGTAGTAGTAGTAGTCGTAGTAGTAGTAGTGGCAGTAGTAGTCGCCGTCGTAGTAGTACTA